AATTTTACATACTGTTTTAATTTAATAACTCCCAGACGATTCTAGGAATTGTCTGGAGAAGATTACTTGAGAAGAGGACTAGAGTACTGAACATCCCATGCACTGCCAAGAGAAGATATGTCTTAGGGAAGGTACAGCCAGAGTGATCCTTGGAGGCAAGGATGGCAAAGCTTCATCTCACATACTTTGGGCATGTTGCTAGAGGCTATTCCTTGGAGAGGAACTTCATGCTTAGAAAGATGGAGGGACAGTGGAGGGGAAGACCCTCAATCAGGTGGATTGACGTAGTCAGTGCAGCAGTGGACTCATGTCACTGGGCTCAGCAATGGCCCCAAGTGTCAGCGATTGTGAGGCTGACACAGAATAGGACAGGGTTCAGATCTGTTGTTCATCAGGTTGCTATAAATATTACTCGACTTGATGGCACCTTCCAATAACAACAATAGACAATCCAAGCCTCTAGTTGCACTGCTGAAGAATTCTATCTGTAAAATATTGAATGATGCAAGAAACATGAAAAAATATGGAAAGACTACACAGAGTTACTGTACCAGAAAGAATTGGTTGACACGGAACCGTTTTAAGAAGTAACATATGACCAAGAACAAATGTAATGAATGGATAAGTTAAAGTTGCACTAAAGGCATTGGCAAAAAAGAGAAAATTCTAGGAATTAAAGGAATACCAATTAACATATTTCAGCAAACAGATGCAGTCCTGGATGTGCTTATTAATCTTTGCCACGAAATTTGAAATACAATTACGCAACCAACTGACTGGAAGAGATTCATATTTATTTCAGTTCCCCCTAAAAGGTGATGCAAGAGAATGTGGATACTACCGAACAATATCATTAATATTTCATTCAATAAAATTTTGCTGAAGATTATTTAAAAATAATTGGAACAGTACATTGATAGGAAACTGCCCGAAATTCAAGCTGGATTCAGAGGAGGCTATAGGATGGGGAATATTATTGCTGAGATCATGACTGAGAGCAGAGAATATGTAAAACAG